CCATCCCCAGGGGCTCTGCCTCTCAGAGTCCCAGCAACCACTGCAAACCTCGGAGAGAAAGCTGCTTTCGAGTTCCGACGGAAGCCAGACAGTCCCGTTTCTCCCGTTTGAGTCTGGGTCCCGAGAGACTCGCCCGGCTCTGGAGCTCAGAGTCTGAGACTCCCTCCCGATTGAAAACAACAACCGCGCCCTCAGCCGCCAGCCCACTCCGGATGCACTCCGCACGCACTCCACACCTTAGTATTTCACTTCAGCACTGCGCCTCCTCTGAGTCTCGGTATGCTATTCTCTTTCCTCCTAGTTGTAGAACTTCCACTCAGCCAGCCTTCCTGTGGTTCTGGATGATGTCCATTCTGTCTTTTAGTTGTATTTTTGAAGTGGTTGTTCGAGGCAGCAAACTCCGGCATTAACCTATGCCGCCATCTTGGTTTCTCCCTCTGTTTCATTCTTTTTAAAATTATATTTTTACTGATTTCAGCAAGGAAGGGAAAGGGAGGGAGAGAGAGAGAGAAACATCAATGGTGAGAGAGAATCATTGATCAGCTACCTTCTGCATGCCTCCCAATGGGAATTGAACTTGCAACCCAGGCATGTACCCTGACCGAGAATCAAAACCTGACTTTCTGGTTCATAGGTCGACGCTCAACCACTAAGCCATGCCTGCTGGGCTGTTTATTTTTCTATGTGCTATTTTAGTATAGCCTTCTCCACTCCCATAGTTTTAATTAGTATATATTTTGGTGACTTCCATAATATCTGAAGATCATAATTCTTCAGTTTCAGACCACCTGTAATTTCCATTTGACTGTTTTATATATCTCAAACTCTATCGAAAACTGAAACTCCAAACTGTTTGTTTGTTTTTTTTGTTTGTTTCCCTTGTTAGTAAATTATCCCATAATCTAGTCAGATGCCTGAGCAGAGAGGGAGTCATTATTTATGACAAATATTACACATTCATGATCCTCTCTGGCCAGAAATTCTTTGAAACCATGTCATGGGGTCATGTTACTAACCCATCTTAGGGCCATTCTCTACACCTCCCTCTTCTCAGTCTCCAGATTCACTCAGTTACCAACTAATACAGATTTTGCTTCCTAAATCTCTCTCTACTCTATCCTACCTCTACACCTATCATCCTAGACATAGCCTCCATCCTCTTGCCAGCATTACCACAGCTTTCTGTCTCTTTATGCTTGGCGTGCCTTACAGTTGCAAATCCATATTATAATCAGAGTGATCTCTCTAAAGTACAGATTTGATCATGATGCACTTCTGCTTTTTTTACTTTAGTGCTGTCTCATTGCTTTCAGGATTATATGAGAACAA